GTAACAGTTGGACACTGACAGTGGCTGTGACATCACACAGAGAGAATAGCTGATTGGCTGGGAAGAAAGATAAAGCAACTGAGCAGTTAGGCCTTGCAAGGAAAGCAGTTGGGAACTGTCCAAGGTCTCTCCAATGAAGCTACAGGATGACATTTGAAGGACACAAATTAAGGGATTCCCATCACTTTCCCATATGCCCCCCCCAAAATTTAGTTTGTATGTCTAGCTGAGCATCATCATTAGGATTTAAGTATCCTGAAATGTAGCAGGTATTGCTCTTGAATGTCCTGAGGGTTTTTACCCAGAACAGCATCTTTTCAGGTGATCAACCAAGATGGTGTCTTGAGCATCACAACTATTTGCAACTGGAAGTGAAGAAGCAAATGAGGGAGCAGCTCACAAAAGAGGCAAGTTCGCTAGTGATAATGGTTGGACTTGCTGAGTGGGAGGTGAATTTGCTTCCTGAAGCTGGCAGATATCCATGGCATGAAGCCCATGGAGGTAAGTTCAATGCACCTAGCTGAAACCAGTGGAGGTTGGTCTTTGAAGCTGGTGGAACTCCTACAAATTCCTGCACATGTCACAAGACAGATGCTGGTAGATGTTGGCAGGTGCAAGCTGATGGAAATGGATCTTCCAACCTACAGAAGTTGGGTTGATATTCATGAAATGAAAGTCGAGAGAGTGAGAGTGAATGGGTGCCCAAAGGGCAATCATAGCCATCATTCATTTGAGTTGAGTCCATTGACACCCATTCATGCACATATTGAATGTGGTTAAGGCGAATGGTATGTGAATGTGGCCATGGTGAAAGGAATCCAGTGGATCTTCATGGTTTCAAAGCCATGGAAATTGGCAGGTGGAATATAGGGGTGAAGTTGACAGGTGAAAGTGGCTTCTCCTTTGAGCAGTGCTGGTGGATGGTGGTGGATGAGCTCCCACTCACCCCATCTGTCTTGAAATTCCACAGATGCTAATATTCAATTAGATATATTTTCTGAGGTGGGCCCAGGAGGCACGAGAGAGAAGGGTGAAGCACAAGCAAGGTAAGTGCCATTCCCTTTCTCCAATACTTTTCTCCTTTTTTTTAGTTGTATCATTGCACAGGGCATGGCATGAGAACCTTAACATGGATGGCCCTAGAAATAGACGAAGTACGAAATTGATCAATAAAAAAAATAGAGGGAAGTTGTCTATGGTGTGAAGATGAAGATAGCTGATGGAGAATAGACCTCTTAAAGCCAGAAAGTCGTTTGGAAAGAAAACATGCCCTTTCCATCCTGTATGGCAGGTCCACCATTGTGCACCTGGGTTTAGCAGGAGTGAGATATTCATTGAATACTGGCACTCTCAGAGCTTAGATCAGTCTTCCTGTGGAAGTATGTTGAACATTTATTCTATCAGTGTTGTTGACCTGTGTGGTTCATAGTGGAAAGACAGTGCTGATTCCATTTGAACAATGAAGGGATCTAGTTTGAGATCAAGGAACTGTAACCTGATTCAAACCTTACTGGATTTAAGGACCAGTTACAGCCTGGTTTAGCACAAAACTGTTAGAGTTTTGCAGCGTTAATTCAGCACCAGAAAAATAAACACAGATGGCTGATGCTTCATTTAACATCTTTATAAACATAATAAGCAGATTTTACAAACCAGTTGTAGATTTCTCCAACATGGAGCAAACTCAGGCAGAAACATGTTGCAAGTAACTTCAGTAGCATGAGCAAAACAGGGAGAACAGAAACAGATATCAGTTTCACTTTAGTTCAGCAGGCAAGCAAGCATGAAGCAGTTTCACTTTCAATAGACAGAGCCACACCTAGGTTACTTCTAGTTTCAGTTTCCAGCCTAGGCTACTTCTAGTTTCAGTTTCCAAACTGTCCTCATTAGCTGATTTAGTTGCTATGCCTATTCATTGGCTGACCTTCTAACCGTGCTCTATTCCACTTCATAAATATACTCTGACAAAAACCATGGTAGAATGTTGCTTCTCTCTGCTGTAGCTTCAACTGCATTCTCAGCCTTTCAAACCTTTGTCTCTTAGCCTGAGCTACCTATTGTTCTGGGGATATTTGTAAATCTCCTTGAATTCCTGCAGAAAATTCAGGATATTTATTTCATAAATTTTGCATCGCCATTCATCTGAGAGCACAATTCTAGGTGGCTCATTATAATAAACCTGCAAGAAGCTGCTGTGTAGAAACTAATTAATTCTCTTGCAGCGTTTCTCAACCTTGGCTGCTTGAAGGTGTGTGGACTTCAATTCCCAGAATTCTCTAGCCAGCATGGCTGGTTATAGAATTTTGAGAGTTGAAGCATTCATCTTTAAGTAGCCAAGGTTGAGAAACATTGTTCTAGGCAGTGGCTGGTTCGGCCCAGTTTGGCTGAACTGGTTGTAAAAAAAGCATCCCACAATCAGCTGAGAGGAGGAAAAAAGGCCTCCCAGGTCACCTTTGTTGTCAGGTTACGGTAATGTTTCTCAATCTTGGCACCTTGAAGATTTGTGGGCTTTAACTTCCAAATTCCCCAGACAGACTTACTGTGGTGGTTCTTTCTCCTATAGCTCAGGCTATTTTTATAGACCAGGGGCGTCAAACTCGCGGTCTGCGGGCCAGATGCATCACACGCTGGCCACACCCACCCATGGTTTAGTGAAGGGGGGGGAAAGTCACGATGCATCACATGACATGACATCACAAATTTGACACCCCTGCTATAGACCATTACGGACAATTCCACAAATATATAATATTAATACATGCAAATGCAAACATCTTTCTCTGGAGTTGCAAAATGCACAAACCTGTTGAAAGGTGGCTGGAGATTTTGTGATTCAGTAGTTATGTGATTTAGACAGGACTAGTTTAAAGGGTAAATTAGTCATGTCTAAACTAGGTGACACATACATGGATTGTTTGGACAGTCTGTTGTGCATTGACATGAGCATGTTGGGGTTGACTGTATTAAATGTTATGCCTGCCCACTCCAAAAGATTCTGTATACAATGCTGAGGAAAAGCCCATAATGCAGGATATCAGCAAGGGATGTTCAAAGAACATGATCAAAACCTTGCCACTTTTTGGTTATTTTGCAGGTAAAAAAGGTAGATCTTCAACAGATATTTCTCCCTCTTCTGAAAATGTCAATAGACTCTCAGTCATTTTCCATCATGAATGAAGGTTCCTTCTGACTCAGGAAACTTATTATAGTGAACTAGGTCCTTGCACTTTTATCTCCATCCCCAAAGAAAAGACAAAAGTTGCCCAGAAAAAGTTTTACTACAATTATAAACTTTGTGAACATCAGAGCCATCCTAGACAATGGCAGAAAGGATTCTGTGACAAAGAACTTCAGTTAACAGTTGAGAATTCATATCAGCAAACACCCAATGAATGTTACAAATAGGACAAAAGATATTTACAGAATATATATATTTACTTCTTGAAAGATTTCAGTAGCTGTTTGGAAGCTATCATTATGGGAGGAACCTGCTTTTTTTTTTGGAGAGAGTGGTTGAAAACATCTTGGACTGCAAGAATGTTTAATACTAGAAGGATTGTGTTAAGAGTTTGGGGGGGCACATCACACAAAGGTAAGATTCATGGACAAGTTCCTGATGTTTGGAAAAATGGAAGGCAATCTATACAAATGGCCAACAGATACAAATTGGCTAGATACTATCACTGGTGACACCTGATTGAGCATGCAAGGGTTCAAAGCAGCAGTTCTGGCAATCATTGGGAAATCTCCATTGAATCATGAGGAATCCGAACTAACTAAACTAAATGATACTATGATTGAAGAAGGGAGTGGTAGAGTTTTATTAGAAGCCATTCTAAGTTAACATTATTAAAAATATGACAAAAATTGGGTTCAAGCTACTGAAATCACTGCAATACTAGAACATGGTCAAATTCATGAATCACCTGTCATGATGTGGTTTATTTCATTTTGGCTTAGGTAAAATGTATTTCAAATGTAGAAATATCTGCCCAGCCTTTCAGAAAGATCAGACCTGGCTCATAGTATTTGGAATCTTCACAGAACACTAAGATTCAAGGATGGATTTCTATCTTGACTACTCAAGGTGCTGAAAACTGAATAGTTGGCAAGTGCTAGTCCTTTTTCTTTATGCATACTTTAGCCTTATCAAAAATTGTTACATAAGCAAACTGGTAGTGTAATGCCCACTACTGCTGTGATGCATGGATCTCATGATGTCACACATGGGAACGTAAAACATTAATCCTCTATTGAAATCCTGAGCAATTCTGCCAAAATATTGTGAGCTTTCAACCACCGTTTGCACCACAAACAACCTGTGTGATTATCATGGACCATAGGAGTGGGAATACTGTGGGAATACAATGGACCTCTGTTGAAAAGACTCATACTTTGAAATGATAAAAGCTTATTCAAAACTGTGGAGATATCTGCATATCTTACTCTTGTGACTGCCCAGAATTAACTAGGTTGCTTTGTTTTATCCAATCATACCAACCATTGCCAGAAAATATATTAGTAAATATTGTTAAATTGTAATAGAGGTAGTATTTACACATTTGCAATAACACTTATTTGTAATATGACACCAATAATGATAACAAATAAGGAACCACAGACTGTTGATAATGGAATTGTTTGTTTTTATTCATTTTCATTTTCTTTTCCTTTTTTTATGTTGTGCATGTGTTTGTTATTTTAGTTGTATAATCAATAAAGTTTGCTTTTAACAGAATTAACTAGGTTGCAACCTTTTTCACAGTCTAGACTAGGCTTCCCCCAACTGGGGACATATCTATAATTCCTAAAATTCCCTAAAAGGTGAAAGGAGGTTAGAGTGTCTTGTATGGATGGTTGAAGTAAGCATTTTTGCAAGAGCCATGGTTGCATAACGTTCACAGTCCCAAGTAGTATATCCCACAGGGCAACCTTTCAAATGTGTTGAGACCACACAGCTCCTACCATACCTAGCCAGCAGAGTGGCTTGAGAAGGAGCTCCCTTTTTCATTAAGTGCTGGGCATTAGGGATGAAGTGTCAGCTCAGTTCCGTTCCAAACCCGGAACCAGGGGTAGATTTTTTCTCCAGAGAAGGATGCGTTTGAAAAAAAGAATATGGTACGCTTGGTTTCTACGTTGAAAAATTCCACCTCTTTATAGATGTAATCCACAAACACACGAATCCGCCGAGGCTTCTTTCCAAAAGAAAGTGGTGTGTGTGGCTCAGTAAAAGCTACGTACTTTGCTTTCCCCCAATATTCTGCAATAGCCCAGATGCCTTCTTTGGTGCTAAAATCGGTCATTCCTTTTCTCTTCACTGACTCCCTGGCAACTCCCACAGCCCATTCTCCATCGTGTTTTATTTCCACCTCCCAACATTCTTTTCCTGATTGAAACCCATTCTGGCCCAGAACCCACACACGTGGGTTAAATCTTTTATCAATATCGGGAAGTGATCGTTCTTCCATTCCCCATGTCGCAGTTTTCCGATCCCTAGAAATGACAATGCGGCGATGAGCAGTGTCTGGGTCAAAGGTCACGGAGACTACAAGAGAAAAGCAAAATGGTGAACTTATTTGCAGTACGTTGGTATTTTTTTTTCCTTTCAAAATCTGCATGATACAATCTCAGTTCTTCAGGTCTCAGTTCAGCAGACTCTGGAGGCTACAGACAACATTCTGGTGGGGTGTCTTAACTGCTCAAAAAGTTTATTATTTCCAGAACTGTTGAGCCAATTAATCTTTTGGGGAAAAATGGTGCATCTTCTGTAGTTGATGTAAATTATATAAATTGCCACAAATGATGCAATTTCACGCAGATAAATGTAATTTCAATTATAATGGTCATTGGACATTCATGGACACCCCATCCCCTACATACTCAAATCTCGTTGCATTATTTAAATTTAAATTTAAAATTTTATTGGATTCTAAGAAAAAAGCTACAAATAGTGTTAAGAAAAATAAATCTGTTTAATAATATTTGATGAAAATGATGTATATTTTGAGTCCATAAATGGGTTTATTAAAAAACAAAAGAGTCTCAATGTGTATTTGTCAGAAAATGTTAGGGATGTTAAGCAAAAAAAAAAAAAATTGTTAAAATTCTAAGTGTTTTATTGGATATATAGATTAAATTATGATCTAGGTATTAAAAAGGTGTGTTTCTTGTCCAGCCCTAATAATCCCAATGAATTTGAATTTCCAAATCTGCTGCCTTGGCAGGTAATCTTTTCACACACCTATCTTGCATTTCAATGATTATCCACAATCATTCACAATCTAATATAGTTTATTTACCCTGGTCTATGACTACAAATCAATAGAGAGACTGAGGCAACACAGCAATTAGTTTTATAAAATAAGAGGACGAACATAAACCATGTATTTCCTAATTTCAGTACAGTCAATGGAATTTACTGTATGCATAAATTTTCATTGTATAAATAACTTTTCACCTCCGAGTAGAGTAGAGTAGCGTAGAATAGAATAGAATAGAATAGAATAGAATAACAGAGTTGGAAGGGATCTTTGAGGTCTTTTAGTCCAACCCACTGCTTAGGCAGAAATAATTATATTTATGGAGCCAAAAGCATTTCACAAATCCATTTATCATTCTTGGGATCATGATATCTCAGAGTTCACAGAATCTCTGCATGATGCCCTAATATGAATATTTGGATTTGCAAGTGTTGTGTAAACTTAAAAATTAGTGTAGCTGAGTAAAATCATGTGTAATGTGTCATGGGACTACAGCTTTTTACTACGATAGTGTAAATGGCTATGATTGTCTTTTCCAGGACATTCATAGAGAACCAGATCAGTCTTGTGTTCTATATTATGGATAAATTAGATTGATTTACTTTGGCTATCGTTATTGTAAATCCTGACTTCAGAAAAATTAAACAACAAAACCCCCAAAATAAATAATTTAAAATTACCTATTGAAGTGCCTGGGATCCATCCACACGAATTGGTTGAAGTCAGTGAGTAGAAAACACTTTGTGTCTGAAATACTGTTTTAAAAAGCTTAGGTTATACAATAGATATAACAGGGAAGGTACTATCTACCTAGTGGGAATCAGCCAGTGGTATCAGAATGGAATGTGGGGGAGGAGACATATTCACAAAACAGCATTGTGCCATTACATTGTAATTGCTGTCCACTTTATACAGACAATATGTCATCAGCAGTGTGTGTAAAAGGGGTGGAGCTCAAGGCAGAGTTATACAACAGTGGTTTTGTCAAAAACAGCAAGATCATGTGAGGGAAATGCCACTGATGGAATCAGCTTAACATCCAGAAATGCAATCAACGAAGCATTTCCTGACATAGAATCTTCGATGGTCAAAGCTTCACCTGTTGTCTTTTGGGGAACTGAAGGACTAAGGCATTGGATCGGGAACAGTCTTGGACCTAATGAGGGCTACATGAGGTTTCCCCAGATTTTATTCCCACAATGCCAAATCTGGGAAGTGGATTTGGTGGAAAGAGAGGGGCTGGGCTCTAAGGCTTAGTCAAAATTTGAACTTCTATCCCCCCCGTTGAAATCCATCTCATTCCCCTCCTGACCTCAGATACTTACCTATTAGAAGAACAATAAAAGCCAGATTCAAAGCAATGCTTCCTCCCAGTATGATCCAGAGTGTGATTTTGCAGCATTTCGAATGACCTGTGGAATTGACTAGTGAAAAGAAAGACCAGGGAAGACATGGTAGCAGTATTCCAATATTTGAGGGGCTGCCACAGAGAGGAGGAGGGTCAAGCTATTTTCCAAAGCACCTGAAGGCCAGACAAGGAATAATGGATGGAAACTGAACAAGGAGAAATTCAACCTAGTGTGGAAAGGGAACTTCATGAGGACAGTGATGACACCCAA